TAGAAAACTAGACCCTCTAACACATGAAAATTCTATAATGAAAGGGCAAGATGACTCTTGTCCACTAGCACTGGGAAGAGATGAGAAAAATCACTTGCTAGCACCTTGGGTAAAAGAAAAAAAAAAGTTCTGTTGAAACTAAAACCCCAGGCCTGTAATTAATATGCACTGGCTTGGGATCTTGATATTTTATTGTCTGCATAGAGTGTAAACCACAAGCTGAGAAATTAACACAAGAACTGGTCCAGGACCATTGATATTCCTAGAGCCTTGGCAGAAGCAAATGCAAAATAGTTCTGCATGACCTTTTTCATAACCTAAGGCTCATGGGACTCCCACAAAGGATAACAATTATAAAATGTGAAAAAAACTCACTATGAAGACAACACAATGAAAACCACAAATTCCATTGGGAAAAGAGCCTGCAGACACAATAAGAAAATTCACATCCCAATAATTAAGAGTAGTAAAGTATTCTTATTATCTAGTAATAGATAAGTATGCTTAAAATGTTTAATGAGCAAAAAGGACTAGAAACCATAATGAAAAATAGGACAGTATGATAAAAATAACAGAAGGATTTTACAAATAATCAGATTTTCAATAAATGAGAAATTTATCACTAATATTAAAAAATTAGTGGGCACATTCAATAGCAGAACAGAGACAGTTGAAGATAACTTTAGAGAAGTAGAAGAGAGCTCTGAAGAAATTACCCAAAAATGGACCGAGTGATTGTCCTAGTCCATTTTGTGTTGATATAACAGAATAGTTGAGACTGAGTAATTTATAAAGAAAAAAAGTTTATTCAGCTTGCAGTTTTGCAGGCTAGGGAGTTCACAGCTGGACAGCTACATCTGGCAGCTTCTGGTGAGGACTTTGTGCTGTGTCAAAACACAGTAAAGAAATGGAAAGGGAACTGGGCATGTGCAAAAAAGAGCAAAAACAGGCCAGGCGCAGTGGCTCAAGTCTGTAATCCCAGCACTTTGGGAGTCCAGAGTGAGAGGAGTGCCTGAACCCATGGGTTCGAGACCAGCCTGGGCAACATGGTAAGACTTCATCTCTACAATAAATAAATAAAAATTAGCCGAGCATGGTGGCATGCGCCTGTAGTTCCAGCTACTTGGAAGGCTTAGGTGGAAGGATCGCCTGAATCCAGCAGGTCAAGGCTGCTGTGGCTGTGAGAAGACAGAGTGAGACTCCAACTAAAAAAAAAAAAAAAAAAATGTATAAAATTGAGACTTAAAAAAAATACAAAAGATCAATGAAATGAAAGGTCAGTTTTTTGAAAAGGTAAACAAAATGGAAAACTTTTAGCTAGGCTAAACCACTAAATCAAGAGGAAGATACCTTGTAGCGTCTTTACCAGGACTAAATAATAGCTGTAAAGCACTTTGAATAGCCGCAGACATAGAAAATGTGCTTGGAAATTTGTTTAACAAACATTTATTGAGTATCTGTAACATTCTAGTCAGTGTAGCAGGCACTGAGGATATAATACTCAGAAAGACCAGAGGCAAGAGTTCAGAAAATAAATTAGCGAAAGAAGTGACGCAGTACATTTCAGGCAGTGATGTGTGTGTATGATTCACATAAATCAGTGAGAGCAAACCGAAAGTACTTTGGAGATCAACGGGAAAGTTTTATTTTAGAAACTGAAATCAAATCAGCCAACTGAACAGTATGGCTATGAGTAAAAAAGAGAATCAAAAAATAATGCTAGGAGTAAAAAGAGAACGGAGCAAATCAACAATATGGCAATCAGGACCAACCAGAATACAATCCAGGGAGACAAGAGGCTTGGAAACTAGCTGGTGAGTCAGCAGTAAGCCGGTGGCACTCATTATCTTTCTTATTAAATAAACAAACAAATAAATATAAATAAATATCACTTGCACTGCCCTTATGATACTTGAACTTTTTATATCTTCACTATTTCATGACAAATTCTATTTTTAGCTATTTTTAGTCAAGTCATGTGTAATTCTTTGATTCTAGTCCTACCCAAGAAATTCTTATGCTCTTTTCTAGTTCTGATGACCTAGGATTATAGAATCCCTGAAGAAAAGAAGCCACACGAGTAATTTCACTTAACGACCTCGTCAGAGCTTGGGGGGGTGGGAGGGGCAAGCTCAGAATAAAGCTGTGAAAAATGTTGAGTCAAAAATTGGAAGATCACAATTCTGGTTCTGTCCCTGAGTCATTAGCCGTGTGTTGCTCTGGAGGATTGCATGTCCTCTCTTTGATTTTGGCTTCCTCATTTACACACAGAATAGTAATCTCTATCTCTCATAGTTGTGGTGATTAAACAAAACAGTATATGTGAAAGGACTTTAGAAACTAAAAATTCTTAAGAAGTGACAGAAATTATTAATCAAGTAGCATGAATCACAGCCAGTTTTTGGGAGAAGCGGGGCTGATCTGTGCTTCCATCATGGCTCTTTTTTTTCCTTTCTTAAAAACAAAAATAAAAACAGCTGGGCATGGTGGCTCATACCTGTAATCTCAGCACTTTGGGAGGCTGAGGCAGGTGGAGTGCTTGAGCCCAGGAGTTCAAGACCAGTCTGGGCAACATAGTGAAACTTTGTCCCTTCAAAAGATAAAAAAAATTAGCTGGGTGTGGTGGTGCACACTTGTAGTCCCAGCTACTCCGGAGGCTGAGGTATATCACATGAGCCCAGGAGGTCGAGGCAGCCATGGGCCATGATCATGATTATGCCACTGCACTCTAGCCTGGAACCCTGAGCGGGCGGGAGAGGAGCGCGGGGGCAGAGTGCAGGGCTCCGCGGAGCGCCGCGAGCGACCAGCGCCATGAGCGCCCTGCCGTTCCTGCTGCTCTGGGCGCTCCCCCAGGCTTGGGGAACCTCGGGAGGTGAGTGGACCGAGGGAGGCGCGCGAGCAGGGCGGGAAGAGGGAGCCGGCCGGGAGCCCTTTGGGGGCGGGTGGCGACCAGCAGGCGCCCGCGCGATCCGGCCGGAAAACGACTGCAGCTTGGCGGCGCCAGCTCCCTGGCTGGGGAGAGGGAGCGCGGCTCAGAGCGCACAGACATCACCCTCCTTCCCAAGCTCATCTGCTGTTGTTTCTTGCTTCCTTCCTTCTCCCCATGCTGCCTCCTCTCCCGGCCACTCGCTGCCGCCTCCAATCTTCATTATCTCCCAGTCCCACAGGGGCCTTTCCTCTTCCGCTGCGCCCAGACCTCGTCCTTTGCCAGCAGCCGCCAGTCGCGCACGGACGTCTCTGTGTGGCTCGGGGAGCTGCAGACGCACAGTTGGAGCAATGACTCAGACTTCGTCCGGCCTCTGAAGCCCTGGTCCCGGGGCACCTTCAGCGACCAGCAGTGGGAGATGCTGATGCATACTTTTCGTGTTTATCGAAGCAGCTTCACCAGGGACATAACGGAATTCGCCAAAATGTTGCAAGTAGCCTGTGAGCTGAGGGCCGGGATCCTGGGCCGGTTCCCAAGGGGTGAGAGTGGACGCAGAAGCTCAACTGGGAGACTGTGGCCTTACCTCATGAGGTTCCCTGCTCTCCGCCCTCTTCTGATCTCCACTTCTGTCAGGAGATGTCCCAGCCTCTGACTCCTCAAAATATCCCGTTCCTGCCTGCTCCAGGTCACCCACTCTCCTTTCCCTGAACTCTGGGTCCCCATGATAACCTCCACACCCATTTCTTCTCTTTCACCCCTTCTAGTCTCTTAAACCTTTCTTTGATCTCTATTTCTCTCCGCAGATCCCATTGAGCTACAGCTGTCTGCTGGCTGTGAGATACACCCTGGGAACACCTCAGAAAACTTCCTCCATGTAGCGTATGAAGGAAGAGAGGTCGTGAGTTTCCAAGAAACTTCTTGGAAGGCAGCCCCAGAGGCCCCAGACTGGATAAATGTGGCCATCACAGTGCTAAACCAGGACCAAGAGACGAGGGAAACAGTGCAGTGGCTCTTGAATGACACTTGCCCCCAGTTTGCCAGTGGCCTTCTTGAAGCAGGGAAATCAGAACTGGAAAAGCAAGGTGCCTGCCTTCCTACCCGGTGTACTCCATTCCCGGTCTCCAAATGGGCTTCTTTATTCCAGGATTCTGATTCATTTGAGCATTCCCAAAAGAGAAAGGCCCAGGAGGGAATAGATAAGGTGTGAGGG